AAGACTCTGGGTAAAATCAAGGACTGTGGAGTCCCGGTCTTGGCTGCACCAGGGATGCACACCTAGGGATGTGTCCTTGTGTCAGTTACTTGATATGCTTAGGCCTCAGTCCCCTCATTCCTAAAATGGGGATGGCAGTAGTCCCTAGCTCACCGGGATAGCATGCAGATCTGGGGAGATAGTGCATAGGAAACGCTTAGCACCTTGTCTGGCACAGAGTTAAGGCTGTTAGTGCTAGCTAGTACCAGTTACATGTCAGCACCCACAGCTGAGGCCTGGGACTGTATCTTTTGTAATGTGGTGGCCCAGGTCTTGCACATAGCAGCTGTGCAATATTGTTCCCTGAATTGGATGCAAGTGGACAGAAGGACTATCCCTGATGAGCGTTGCCTTCACCATCATCCTCTGTAGGCTGGCCCTCTGGTGCCGTCCAGTGCCGTGGTGGCACTCTCCCCTTCGGAGGAGGAAGGAGCCTTAGATACTCTGGTACAACCCCTCGTTTCACCAATGAGGAAACTGAGGCCAGAGGGTTGGAAACATAACCACCACTTTTCCCCTTGAGAGGTACCCCCGGGTGAGGCTAGACCCTGAGGCTTGGGTAGCGGAGATCGGTTGTAGAAGGGGCTGCTATCCAAAAAGAGAACATGACTTCCACCCAGAACCTGGTGTGGAGGGGGCAAGGCCTGGATGCTACTGACCACAGCTGTGTGGCCCCCTGGCTTGGACGGCACAGAGAGCCATGCCATTTGGACATCCCACATGAGCTCCAATGGGCTGCTCATCAGTGGTGGCACAGAACAGGATACAAACTCCCTCGAGAGCCTGGATGAATTTGGAAATCACTCGGGTGCCCTATGTATCCTCGCCACACCACTTTCCTAAAGCACCCCCCAAAGGGACCTGCATGCTCTTTGTCCCCCTAGGCTGTAGCCCCAAGGACCACTGTGAGGTGAAGTGACAGAGCTGAGGGCAGAGGAAATGGAGGACAGGAGAAGCTGGACCCGAGGACCTCCCCACTGTGTGAGTGTGGGGAGAGGCCGTGGGGGCTGCCCAGGGGCAGACTCATTCATTTATGTGTTCGTTCATTTGTTTGTTCTTTCACTCATGTGTTCCTCCAATATGGAGCATGTCCTAGGCTCCAGGGACTGTGCTGGGTATGGGGAAGCAAAGGTGGGCAAGAACAGCATATCATCTAACACATAATAACAAGTGCTCACTCCTCACACAGACTATGAAGGTGTTCTGTGCACAATCTGCACAACTCCGTGACAGCCCTGAGAAGGACATAGTCCTTGCCCTTATGAGTGGGACAGCTCTCAGGTGCCATAGAGTCAGCGGCGGGGCGCTCCGTGAAAGCACACACCCAGGCTCGGGGATACTGAGCTGAGATGTGGAGCATGCACAGAGATCTCCCAGGTGAAGTGTGATGGAGGGACAGGTGGGGAGTATTCCCAGCAGAGGAAATAAAATCTGTCAAGGCCCAGAGGCAAACGATAGCACAGAGATCTGGAGCAAGGCAAATGGGAATGGCTGGAAGCCGACATGGGAGCGGGGCAGGAGATGGGGTTATGTCTGGTGGTAGAAGAACCTGGAGAAGTCTTTGTCTTACACGTGGTGAGGAGCCATGCAAGGCTTTCAGACGGCAAAATACCATGATCAGATGTGCTCTCTTTCAAGAGGACTCAGTGGCAAGGTGGAGATCAGGTTGGAAGAAGCACAACTCCAAGTAGGGGAATTTTGGGGGATTCCCTAGGGGCTTAGGCAAGAGATGATGGTCCTATCCTGGGGTGGGGGGAGTGGGGTTGGCAGGAGAAGGTGGGGATTTGGGAAATAGTTAAGAGTTAGCATCAGTGGGGTTTGGGGATGGAGCAGATGTGGAGGAGAGGGAGAGAAGCCATGCCATAGAAATTGCCTGGGATTCTGAACTGGCTGATGGAGCAGAAGGTCTGGCAGGTTGGTGGACTAGCGAGATAATGATCATCCAAGATCCTTCCAGTCCAAGTGCTACAGGATTTGTGCAACTGGTGGGACTAACAGAATCAGAATACTAAATCCTAGATCTCAAAGAAACCTAAAGCCGAGTCAGGTCCTTGCCCCAGGCTTCATGTACTTTTCCCTCTTCAGCTCACTTACTATTTTCCCCTTTTCATCCTCGAGCATCTTCTTCATGCCAGGCACTGTGTCAGGCACTGGGGATATAATGATGAATAATAAGTCATGTGTCCTGACTTCAAGGAGGAATCCAGTCAACAGGGGATAAGGATATAGGGCTGAAGGGCTATGACTGGGAAAGGCTGGGTGCTAGGTGATCATGGAGAAGGGACATCCAACACAACCTTGGAAGAGCAGGGAAAGCTGCCAAGAGGAGGAAGGAGAACCACAATTCTGTCCCAAAGTAAGAGAAGGAGTAATTGAGGTCAAGTGCCAAGTGAGGAAGGGAGCAGGAACGTTAGCGGTAGGGCAGGGGGAAGAGCCCTAAAGAGATAGGAGGCAAAGGAGGCCCAGAGAAGTTAAGCAGCTTGCCCGAGCTCACACAGTTCATTTGCAGAAGAGACAGGAATTGAGCTCAGTCTCTTATAAATGTGTGCCATATTTTTAATCATTTTTCTCTAACCCCTCACTTTTTACCCTCTTCCTCCCGCCCCCAGCCTATGCTTGGCCCAGAGAGATACTGGAGCCAGGGGAGGTGGGCTGTTCCCTGGGGCTGAGTTCACTCAGCAAGAAGACCCCTGTCACACCCTCTACCAACCCTCACCTTTCCCACCCCACTCCTGCTGGCCCAACCTGTAGACCCATCTATCAGAATGATGTCCACTATAAAAAGGTTCATGACACCCATCAGAACCCTGTACAACTCTCCATATGCCACCATCACTCAGAATTAAACTAATTCTCCTGCCCGAGCTGAAGCACGGGTTTCCCTCCCTCCTTAAATTGAACTGCACTCTCTTTGGGGGGCAAGTAGGGACCATTTTTCTCTTCTTATTACCTCAGTCTCTTGTTGCTTTGCATATCATAGTTATTCAAAAATTATTCATTCAGTGAGCTCTTACTATGTCCAAGACACTCTGCTAGATGCTGGAGGACTGGTACAAAGATGGATAAGAGATGGTCTCTGTCCTCAAGGAGCATAGTCATGTGGAATTGAGAAGACTTCTTCTCTGGGCCAACTGACCACCCACATCACACTGTAGTGTTCCAGATGGACTCTCTGCCAGTCCCTGCCTGGGCATTCCCGGTAACACAAACTCACTACCTCACAAGCAGGGCATTCTATATTTTTAACAGCTCTAATTGTTAATTGCACTAAAAGCTTCCTTTCCTGTAGCTTTCATACGTTAGTACCACTATTTTTGCCTGGAATGATAGAAAATATATCTAATTCCTTTTTCACATGTCAGCTCTTCCATATTTAAAACTTGTTTTCATGTCTACAGTTTCTCCACATGACTCCAGCCAATCCTTTTTTCCTTCTTAGGAGAACCTTGGAATCCTCGGCATTCTTACTTGCTTCTTAAATGAAGCCCCAAGAATCAAGGACAGGCTCCAGCGGGCCCTGACCAGGAACCAGTGTGGGGCTCTAGCCGGCTGCTCCCTTATCCGGGGGGTTTTATCTACCCTTCTGTGAAGGCTGCTGGACTCACTTTGGCAGCTGCTTTACTGGTTATTGACTCCTCTTGAGCTTACAATCGACTGAAGCCCTAAGGTCTTTCTCCCAAGGCCAAGCCTGCCCATCTTATACTAATGCTGTGGGCTTTTCAAAGCTAAGAGAACTTTAGATGTTTTTCCCTATTTCATTTAGACTTTTTCATTTAAATCTTTATGTCCGGATAAGATTTTTACAAAGTCTTGGATTCTATCACCAAGGTATTGGCTGTCCCCTTTCAGCTTTGTGTCGTCAGAAATTAGTGCCTTGTCAGAAATGGTTGAACAGAACAGGACCAAGGACAGCGTACCACTCAACTCCCCAGGAATTGGCATTGATGGAAAAAAATCAATGTTTTTTTGAGAATTCTGTTTGAAAGCAACCCACTTGACTGGACTGTCATCTAATCTACTTCCTATCTTGTCCACATATAGATCATGGGAGATTTTGTTAAATACTTTACAGACAGCTAGATGTTCCACCTACAGCTGGCCTTGATGCTGAAGGAAAGAAATGAGTTTGGCCTGACTCATTCTTAGTGATCTTTCTACTAGCTTTCCTTCCCAAGACTCACTTTGTCCATTGAGTTAAAGAATGGTTCTTTAGAACCTACACACTGTAAAGCTAGAAGAGACCTTGGAGATGATTCAAGGTCTAATTCCCAATTTTGCTGATGAAGAAACCAGTGCCCAGAGTGCTTAACTGGCATTCCCAAAGTCACAGAGTTAACTAAAAGCAAGACCAAGGATTGGATCCTATGTCTATGGCTCCAAGTTCAATGCTCTTTCTTAGCAATATCTAGTCATGATGTCTTTCTCTAAGCATATGCACATGAGTACACACACACACACACACACAGGATTTGTTCTCCAATAGGGAGCTTTGGTTAACCTTGGGAATCCTCAAACTCCTTGGAGGAGACCACTGTCTCTGCACCTCATTTGAACCTGTGTGTGCCTACACATGGGGCTTGCCCCTTGTGTGGGCACGTAAGTGAGGCCATCTCTTCTGAGCAGCAGGTGGAGGTAGGGGCTTCCCTAGAGAACAGTGGGCCACCTGCCTCAAGGTCTGGGGGGGGGCAATTTAGGCTTCCTGCACATGGCAAGAGGAACAGAGCCCTAAACACACTGCCTCGGGGACTGGCATTGCAAAGGTGTGACCCCTGCCATGGAGAGGCTGGTTCCTGACAAACTGGGCGACAGGGAAGGGCAGAAGACAGCTCCATTTGGGAGAACTAGTGGCAAAAGAAATGTGCCTGCAGCAGAGGTGGGCCCAAGTGGGGAGATCCCTGGATAGCCCCCGAAGGCAAGGCCCCTTCTCCACCCTCCCCACCCCCCTTGGAGGCCCTGGGTACCTGTTTATTCTTTAGGTCAAGGGAGAGTTCGTAATCGGAGGCGTTAGGGGCGTGGGAGCAGAGCGCCGTCGCCAGGGCAGGCTGCTGCCGGCCGGGGGAGGCCACGCGGTGGGAGCCAGCCCTCGGGGAGGCACCCCCCGCCCCCGGCCGCTCCTCCTCCTCCTGCAGCTCCTGGGCTTGAGCCTTCAGGGCATGGGCACTGGGTCTGCCGGCTGCCACCGCCGCCGCTGCCACCACGGAGTCCTCCATGCCCCCACCGGCCTGGGCGCAGGAGCCATCGCTGTGAACAAAAGGCAACGGTGCTCGGTTGGGGGAGAGCGGGACAGGGTGCATGTGGGTGCGGGAGTGAGGAGAGAGACTGGGCACTCTGGCCTGGCCTTTGGGGCAATGATGGGCCTTTCTAGCAGTGGGGGCTTGTGGGGGTGCCTCCTGCCGTTGCCTCTAGGGGAGAGCTTCAGGCAAGGAGGAGAGCCTGCATTTGAGGAGGGTATCCCAGGCAGAGGGAAGAAGCAGTATGGCCGAGTGGGGAAGAGTAGAACGCCTGGGTTGGAATCTGGTCTCTGACTTATTAGCTGTGCGAACCTGAACAGGCTACTTCATTGTACCTCTGTTTCCCCATCTATAAAATGCGCACAATAATAGTACCTACCTCATAGGAACGTTGGAAGGCTTGAGTTAGTTAAAGTTCTTAAAACAGTGCCTGGCTCATGGTCCCTGCTATATACAAGTGTTAACGATCATCGTTATCAGTCATCAAGCTCCCTGACCAGTGGCTTAGGCAGCTGGAAAGAAGCTGATTTACACTGAACCAGCTCCACTTTTACACTGCCCCAGAGACTGTGGGGGAAGGAGTGATCCTTGCAGGCTTGGCTTGGGCATAAAGCCCCTCCAGGCTGGGTGGACGCCAGCTCTTTGGGGCTGGGGCTAGAGTTGTGAAGAGGAGGGTGCTTGCCCTGCAGGGTCTAGGGAAGCATCTGTTTTTGGCTCCTGGCCTCTCCTGGCCCCTCCTGCCCTCCCATGAAGCCACCAGCAGGCTGAGTCATTGCTGCTACCCACCTCCCTACTCTAGGAAAATACCTGCTGGCTGGAGCCCCCACACCCAGCCTGTCCTGGAGAATTAGTACACTCAGGTTTCTCCCCTCCCTGGCCAGTCTCCAAGTTCTGCCACTCCCTCAAGGCCAAGTGCGAAGCCACCTGTCCATGAAGCCTTTCCAAGTGACTCCAGCTGTAACTGCTTCATCTGCAAGCACACTAGGAACTGTGCTTAGAGAGTCCCTTCCTATCTCACAGGAGGAGAAGCATTGTGGCTACACCATGGGCTCATATCCAAGCTCTACCATGATGTGGCTTAGTTTAGTTGTTTTTTCTCTGAGCCCCTCTCTGGTTTTCTCATCTGATAGCGGAGGTACAAGTACCTATTTTATGAGGTTATGGTGAGGAGGAAAGGAGTCAGTATGTGTAAGCTGTTTAGCACACTGCCTAGCACAGAGTAGGTGCTCAGTAAGTGTTAATTCTTATTTTCCTCATCTATCCCACCCTGGAGGCCAGGGCCTATATTCTGTTTTATCCCTGCTCCCCACTTAATGCTGGGCAAATGGTGAGTGCTCAGTTAATACTTGATGATGGATGAATTGCAGGGAGTGCAAGGGCCATAGGGACGGCCCCTCCAGCAGACAGAGATAGAAGATCAGGACTGGAAGGGACCCTGAGGTCATCTACTCCAGCCCTCCAATCTCCCTTTTTTACAGATAAGGAGCAGGGGCTCAGAAGGTGGGGTGGCCCTGGTCAGAGAGCCAGACAACCTTAGGGCTTTCTTCTTCTAAGGCTTTGCCTCCATGTAAGGTGCCCCAAATCATGCCAGAGAAGAGATCTCTTCCTGTTGCTTCCACCCAACTTTGGAGCCCCTGGTACTAGAATAACCACGGATGGGTGAAGAATCCTTTCACTCCATCTCCATCTCTCCTCCCAGTACTCCTCAGCCTCATCAACTCCGTAAAGGAGAGCTCTTTGGCTGACCCTAGCAACAAGGAGCCTCAAATTCCCCCAAGGAAACCCTCTTTATGCATATTTCTTTGCTCCATCATTTCTTGTACGGCCATTAATCAAGTCGTATAGTTGAATGAGCTCTAGACATCTGATATGTCTTTTTCACCGATATCACCAAGAGGTTCTTTTTAAGACCTGACTTCAACTCTTGTCATAGGACTTACCTATTTTTTCCGCAGGGCCACAGAAATAGCCCTTCCCTTTCCTATCACAACCTGCCTCCAGGGGGCACCAGTCAGTCTCATTCATCTCTTATACAGACTGTCCTTGGTACTAATGCCCAAGCTTCTTCACCCCAAAAGGTTTTCCAGACTCTTTAGAGAACTGGTGGCTACTTGGGGCTACAAACACCTTTAAAAATAGCACTTTGTGGGCGCCTGGGTGGCTCAGTTGGTTAAGCGACTGCCTTCAGCTCAGGTCATGATCTTGGAGTCCCGGGATCGAGTCCCGCATCGGGCTCCCTGCTCGGCAGGGAGTCTGCTTCTCCCTCTGACCCTCCCCCCTCTCATGTGCTCTCTCTCATTCTCTCTCTTTCAAATAAATAAATAAAATCTTTAAAAAAAATGTTTAAAAAAAATAGCACTTTGCTTTCTTTTATTGCTGTAGTGTGCCTGAGAAGAGGTTTTGGGAGTTGATGCACCAGAATAGCAGTACTCAACTGATGATAATGGATGCAGGTAGATAAATACCCCGGCTTCCTCGTCCCTTGAGGAATAATCCAAGGCACATTCCACACCATCTCCCAAAGATGCCCAGCAGTCAAAGCAGTGAACTGATAATTAATGAACATGTATTGGCTTCCTTCTCTTCATCACCCACTCCTACATTGGCACTTCTTGGAGTCCCCTTGTCCCAAATAAACTACTTGTGTTAAACCAAAACAAATTTTAAAAATAGCCTTCTTTGTGGTCCACCCCTCTGGATATAGACAGACTCCAAGGCCTTCTCCTGAACTCATTCATAGGACCTAGGAATTAGAAGACCCCTTACTGTCATCTCCAGCACATACATACACATGCATGCATGAGTATACACACACACACACACACACTGTCATACAATGCTTCTAACTAGCTCTGTGGCCTTGGGTAATTTGTTCTTCCTTCTGAGTCAATTTCCTTACTTGCCATATGATGGGAGCTTACTTATCCCTAAGCTTAGAATTCTGGGAGCTTGGATTCCAGTGCCAAGGCCAGTCCACCAAAGCCCACCAGCCCCAAGGCTCCAGACTCTCTGGCTGATAGAACCAACTCTGGTTTTGCCCACCTCTATGCAAAGGGACTGAGAGACTGTGGCCCTCCCGAGTATATGATGAAAAGTATTAGAAAGGAGACCTTGTCCTTGCCTTCCCCCCTTAGACTTCTTCACAGACTTGTGTGGTACAAGGTGGCTATTGGAGACCCAGAGCTGCTGTCATCAATATGGCAAAGTTTAAAGTTATATAGTAGAGGGTAAAGAACATGGGCTTTGGTGTCAGGAAGTCCTGGGTTAGAATCCTGGTTCTGTTACTTACTATGTGACTTTGGACAAGTTACCTAACCTCTTTGTGGCTCTATTTCCACAAAATGGGCATCTTAATAACTCCTTTGCAAGGTTGCTGTGAGGACTAAATATAGCTTGCAAAGAATTTAGTACTCTGCCTGGCACAGAGTAGTCCTTGATAAGTGGTTTCCAGCAGAATACAGTGGCTGTATTCTGAGCTGGAAACCTACAGCATGGAGTCCCAAAGGAATCCCCAGAAAAACGGCATGGAGAATTCCTATGTGGCAGGGGTTCTCAACATTTAGCCTACCTCAACCTTCACAAAACCGAAACAGTAGGGTTTTTCCATCATATCTCATGGTCTTTCCCAGACCTCCAGACTAACTCTTAGGATCTTTAGGGAGAGAAGTGAAGGTGAATTGGCTCCCTGAGGCTTCCTCCCACCCTTGTTCTCCAGTCACTGGAGGAACAGCACAGTGAAGGGCTTTGGTCTTGGGGGTCAGCACATCATGGGATCCGTGACCTCTGAGGAATCCATACATATTTACCACCTACAGGCAGGCCCTTTGGCTGTACCAGCCACAATATGGGGCATGCACTAGGCCGACATTAGTCCAATGTTCCTTTTGTGCATTTGTCTTTTAGTCACTTAGGGAGCAATGGAGGCCCGAGTACTTAAAACCTCTATGTGATGGCTGAGCATCAAAAGACTGTTCCCAGCCTCTGTTTCCCTCTTTGTACCCCATCTATAAATAATGGTCCAAGGAAAGAGTTTAGAATATTCATCCTAGCTGTCATAGCTTGGAAGGACCATCTACTTCAACTTAGAGACCATCTACTTCAATCCTAGTCTCATATGGAACTGGAAGCCCCTTGTTCCAGTGCCCAGAACATCACTCTTCTCAAGACACAGGCTGTGACCCTTAAGTGTCCAGAGTTGGCTGGGCTGACCTTACATCATGAAGCTGCTGTCCCTGGTGGGTCAGATTTCAGGCAGCCTGGTACTTGGACAGGAATCACGTGAATGGGATTCACTCTGGGACCTGCATAGCTTCTTGTAAGGAGAAGGGAAGGAGAGAAGGGAGAGGGATCCCGGTGATCTTAGCTATCTTGGGTTCATTATTCAGCTGTGGGAGCAGATTCCTTGAATGACAGCCCACTAGCCTGGAGAAACTTAGGGTCACTGATGACATGAAGGAGATGCTAGTCACAAAAACCTTTCCTGGGTTGGGATGCCCATTCAAGAAGAAAAAGAATGTGGGTGATATCAAAACAAGAAGGTTCTGAGAAGGCTTTTGTTGTGCCCACATGACATTAGGCCAATACACACACAGAGACCCAGGCCAGCCACAGGGGTTATTCCACCCATGAGAACACAGGATATGAGCATGGCAAATGAAAGTCTTTGGAAAATAGGGGTATAAGTAGTGGCTCAGAGGAATACTACATGTGCCCAGACCAGAATGACCTGTGTGTTGGAACTGAACATCAAGTGAGAAGCTGACTTGTGCTCAGAGGGACGATAGGGGCCTGTGGAGCATGGCGTATATATGACTCCCTTGGTGTTCCAGTAACCACTCCCTCCTGTCTATCATCCCTGCTATCAGAATTGACTTCCTAAAATGTAGATACTTTAATATCAATCCTTTGCCCAAAACGCATCGGTGACTTCCCAATACTCTTGAGATAAAGTCCACCGGTGTGGACTCAGGAGCACTGGTGATCTCACCCCAACATTCCCTTCCAGCCACA